CTCGGGTGCGCGCGCGGAGCGGCGCGGGGGGCCCAGATCCTCTCGAGTCATGGAAAAATCACGACGGGAGTTGTTTCGCAATTTTCGGTCTTCGGGGGCCCCCACTGGGCGGGCCTCGGGACCGTCGAAAAACGACGGCAGGATGAGGAACCGGTCCTGGGGAATGGGTCGAGACCTGTGGGCGTCGACGCCATGAAAAATTCATGACGTCAGGGGTCTTGGGGGGGAGGGGAAACGGAGAAAATTCACCCTATTTGACTTGGGGTCGTTCTTGCTTGTTTGCGTTTCTTTCTCTGGTTCCGTCTCTTTTTCTGTTTTCCCTTCTTTTTTTTCTCTCTCTCTCTCTCTCTCTCTGTCTTTCTCTCTCTCTCTCTCTCTTTCTTTCTCTTTTCTTTTTGGCGGATTACATTCTGGTGGTAGATTTGAAAAACGCAGAGAGTCTCAGTTTCTTCTGTTTTTGTTTGCTTCTTCCTTGTTTCTTTTTTTTGTTTTCCTTGGTATCCTCCTGGGCCTACCCAGGGACAGAGGCCCAGGGGAAATACCAGGGGAAAAACAAAACAAACAAAAAAACACGGAAAATGCAAACAAAAAAAAAAAAAAAAAAAAAACTCTCTGCGTTTTTCAAATCCACGACCAGAATATAATCAAAATCAATTACATTCTGGTGGTAGATTTGAAAAACGCAGAGGTCTCAGTTTTTTGATTTTGTTTTTGTATGTTGTTTTTTCATTGTTTTTTGTGTTTTTTCCCGGTATCCTCCTGGGCCTACCCAGGGCCAGAGGCCCAGGGAAAATACCAGGGGAAAAACCCAAAAAAGCAAACAAACAAAAAAACAAAAACAAAAAAAACAAAAAGCTGAGACTCTCTGCGATTTTCAAATCCACGACCCGAATACAATTAAAATCAACTACATTCTGGTGGTAGATTTGAAAAACGCAGAGGGTCTCAGCTTTTTTTACTTGTTGTGCTTGTTCATTTTTTTTGTTTTTGCTTTTTTCTGCCTCAGGGCCCCCAGGAAGGCCAGAAGAGGCCAAAAACATTGATTTTCCGTAGGTTGTTGACGGGTGTTGACGTTTCCTTCTTTTCGGCCTTCCGACGGCCCGAGACGGCCCAAGAGCCCCCACATATCGCCGAAAGATCGCCCAAGAGGCTTCCAAGACTGCCAAGATATCCTTCAAGACGCCCACGTGTTCCCCGACGGCTTTTCAAACCGATTCGGGGAACACATGGTCCGATGGCTTGGCAGGTCTGGCCTCAACGTTCGGCCACACAAGACGGCCATGATGACCTCCAAGACGGCCCCAGATGGCCTCCAAGTCCGCCCAAGATGGTCCAAGACGGCCTCCAAGAGGGCCTCAGAGAGTCCAAGACGGCCCAAGCCGGCCCAAGAGGCGGCCCAAGAGGCCTCCCAGACGGCCCAAGAGGCCCCCAAGAGGTCTTCCAGGAGGGCCCGAAGAGGCCAAAATCATTGAGTTTCCTTAGCCTTAGGTGTTTGAAAGATTTTTGGAATTGTTTCTTCTCGGCATTCCGACGGCTCCAGACGGCCAAAGAGGCCCCCAAGATCGCTCAAGAGGCCCCCAAGAGAGCCCCATGACGACCCAAGAGGCCTCCAGGATGGCCCCAAGAGGGCTCCAAGACGGCCCAAGAGGCCTCGAACACGCCCAAGATAGCCTCCAAGACGCCCAAGATGGCCTCCAAAGCGGCCCCGAAGCGCCCCAAGAGGGTCCCCCGTTGGCCCAGAAAGGCCCCCAAGACTGCTCCCGACGGCGTCAGACGTGCCAGGAACCCACCAAGATGGCCGAAGCTGGCTCGAAGCTGGCCCAAAAGGGCCCAAGAGGTCCCAAAGAGGGCCTCCAGGAAGGCCAGAAGAGGCCAAAAGCATTGATTTCCCGTAGGTGTTTAACGGATTTTGAGATGTCCTTCTTTTCGGCCTTCCGACGGCCCGAGACGGCCCAAGAGCCCCCAAAGATCGCCGACAGATCGCCCAAGAGGCCTCCAAGACGGCCACGATGACCTTCAAGACGCCCACGTGTTCCTCCAAGGCTTTTCAAACCGATTCGGGGAACACTCCAACATGGCCTCCAAGATGGCCAAGCTGGCCCAAGATGGCCTCCAAGCTGGTCCAAGATGGCCTCCAAATCCGCCCAAGATGGCCCACGACGGCCTCCAAGACGGCCCAAGAGAGTCCAAGACGGCCCAAGACGGCCCAAGAGGCCCCCCCAGAGGCCTCCCAGACGGCCCACGAGGCCCCCCAAGAGGTCCTCCAGGAGGGCCCGAAGAGGCCAAAATCATTGATGTTCCTTAGGTTTTTGAAGGATTTTGGAATTTGTTTCTTCTCGGCATTCAGACTGCTCCAGACGGCCCAAGAGGCCCCCAATATCGCCCAAGAGGCCCCCAAGAGGGCCCCATGACGGCCCAAGTGGCCTCCAGGATGGCCTCAGAGGGCTCCAAGAAAGCCCAAGAGGCCTCCAACACGCCCAAGATGGCCTCCAAGGCGCCCAAGATGGCCTCCAAAACTGCCCCGAAGCTCCCCAAGAGGGTCCCCCGTTGGCCCAGGAATGCTGAACGGGCTCGTGACCCACAGAATGAGCGCATTCCTTGGTGTCCATTGTCCAGAGGAGGAGGAGGAGGAGGAGGAGGAGGAGGAGGGAGGAGGAGGAGAGGAGGAGGGAGAAGGAGGATGAGGAAGGATAGGAAGAGAAGGAGGAAGAGGAGGAGGAGGAGGAGGGAGGAGGGAGGAGGAGGAGGAGAAGAGGATGAGAGGAGGAGGATGAGGGGAGAGGGAGGAGGAGGAAGGAGGTGAGGAGGAGAGGCGGAGAGATGAGAGGGAGGATGAGAGGAGGATGAGAGGAGGAGGAGGGGAGGAGGAGGAGTGGAGGAGGAGGAGGAGGAGAAGGGAGGAAGCGGAGGCGGAGGGAGGCGGCGGAGGAGAAGGTAGGAGGAGGGGAGGGGAGGAGGAGGGAAGGGGAGGAGGCGGAGGAGGCTGGGATGAGGGATGGGGAGGGGAGGAGGAGGAGGGGAGGAGGAGGAGGAGGAGAGAAGGCGGAGGAGGAGGAGGAGGAGGAGGAGGAGGAGGATGCGGCGGCGGAGGAGGAAGAGGAGGAGGAGGATGATGAGGATGAGGAGGAGGAGGAGGAGGAAGAGGAGGAGGAGGAGGAGGAGGATTGCATATGTGTTTATGAATGCATGCGTGCGTGTACATATGTCCGCAGCTCGTGCGACGGCTCATGTGTAGATTGACTTGGTCAAAACAAAGCTTGTTGCACTCACAGAAAACACCAAGTCAAATAGGGTGAATGTTCTCCCCCTCGGGGGGAGGGCGGCCGCGCTGCTCGGCCACAGTGTGAAGAACCTGCCAGGGCGAAGAAGCCAGAGCCCAGATGGGCGACGAGACGGAAGGGGTAGTACGCGAGATCGAGTACAGTCGACCTGTATAACAAAGACGCACGATAAGGATGCACAGTCCTTGGAAAGGCATGTCGACACTTTGCGAGCGGGGCGCGGCCAGCGAAAGCGGTCAAGGATGGAGGGTGGGCCGAAGGGGAAGGATGCGAGGGTAAAACTTAGAGAGCTGCGCATCCTTCCTGTGCGGGTTGACTGTAGCGACCTTACGTGGCGGCTGACGCGGGCCGCCAGCGCGGCACGCCAGTGGAGACGAGGGCGCTGACGCGCGACCTTACACGGGAAGTTCACGCGCGAATGTCGGCGCAGACCAACCCGTTTTCCTGCGTCGCTCGTAGGAGGGGCAACGTTTGGGGGGGTACTGGCTCAAGGGGGGGGGGAGGGGGGGGGGGAACACCGACCTGGAATCGGCGGTACATCGCTGATGGATCGGCGGTAGGCCCTCCACCGCACATCCGCACGGCCCTGGCGTGGGTTGGGCCCCCTGTCGGCGGTCAGTCGAAGATTGGGGGCCGATGCGGCCCCCCACGTGAGCCTATCCCCCTTACCGCTGCCCCCGATATATACCTCAGGGGCCCGACCACAAGAAACCTTCCACAAGAAACCCAACCCAGAGACCACTGGAAATCCATTGGTTTTTGGCGTGGGCACGCACGCCTTCCAGCGCAAAAAAAACATTGAGACCCAAGAAGCCCCGGGCACCCTGGAGGCAGGCAGGGTGCTTCTTGGCATGGGTCTCCACTGTGGCGCTGCCCCCGACCATGCGACGCCCGCAGAAAGCCGTTGGGCTGCGCCCGTCGTTGGGCGCGCGGTGGGGCTGTGTGCCAGGCGCCCAGGCGGGGAGGAGGGCAGTGGCAGGCTGGCTTCCTCGACGCCGTCGTCGTCGTCGTCGTCGTCGTTGCCGCCGCCGCAGTCGCCGCCGCCGCCGCCGCCGCCGCCGCCGCCGCCGCCGCCGCCGTCGTCGTCGTCGTCGTCGTCGTCGTCGTCGTCGTCGTCGTCGTCGTCGTCGTCGTCGTCGTCTGTCCCGTTCGCGAGATCGAGGTTCGAGGATCGAGATGTTGGATGTGTGTGTGTTGAAAAATTTGGGGCGTCCTGTAGCGCCCGCATCGCCACGGCCAGATTCGCCTCGAGACTATCGACGCAACGCGCCCAAAGACAGGTCGGGGGGACTACTTCGAGGAGCAGCCCAGCCATCCCGGCGCCTCCGGAACACCACGACGGCCCATTGTCTCTGCCGCCTCACACCCGCTGGGGCCTCCTTCGGGTCGCGGTGCTGCGAGCAAGACACCACGCGGCAAAGGGCCGGCCCCGGGGACGGGGTCGAGGGCTCTGGGGGGCCACGTCGTGGAACGGCCACGGCGCCGGAGTCTGGGCTGGAGGCGCGCTGCCGGCGGCCGCGAGAGCGAAAGCCGAAAAGGGGCGCCACGGGAGCCCACGGCGGAGGGCCACTGCAGGCCAAGGATCTGGCGGGCAGCTCCAGAGAGGAGCCGTGCGCCGTGGCGCCCGACGGCCGGACCGCCGAGGCGCAGGTGACCGCGCGACGCACGAGCGGCAGGCCGCCGCCCCACTGGGTCGGACGTTGGACCATCCTGGGACCC